ATCACACACAGGGGTCTGGTAAATAATAAGTACATACATTAATCACAAAGGGGTTTGGTTCATAATTAGAGTCACACACCGGAGACTTGAGAGCCACATATGATGATGGCCTTATGCCGTCAAGTGGCATGCATCCGTCGATCGTCTATCCGTCTGTCAATCAGCACTGACTTCAGATGACCTGTGAACCACTAATAAGAATTGAGAAACATCCCTGTGTGGTGGAGATTAAAATTGTGCATATTATGGGGCTAGTTTCTTCAGGTTTGAGTTCGATTTAAGGTTTTGTTCGCACTTTGATTTTCTCTTCATTTACTTTTCAAGTATGTTACGCGTAATGTTTTGGAACATTTTTGGCGGACAATGTTTGGATTCTGTTAAACTTTCCAAAAGGCTGCGGTCTTTCAAAGTAGTATTGCTTTGAATGACACTATTCAATGATTCCCCAAAAGGTTTGTTTAAAGTCACGATGAACATCTCTAGAGATTAACAATAACTGAACCTACTTATATCTAATAATAAGGGCCAAGAATGAAAACAGATGGTTTGAAACACCAGTATGCAACAATGGTTTGTTTACACGAGCAGTTTATCTTCCTTAAAAAAAATAGTAAAGGTTCTAATTTTCATTAAAACAATATCAGCACACCATTGCAGATATATGTCTCGGCTATGAACAAAGCTGATTCCCCACTTAGACAAGTGTAAGTATAAATTTGGAAAATACGGTATGTCTTTTGTTACCAGATAGTTATCAATGCTACTGACGGAGCTTATTTGCGCAGTCAATCTATTCTGTTCTATATAAACCGTCCTCTCCACGGCGAATGCCATATGGAGACAAATGCCCTATCAATGAATACATATATGGTTTTGATACTTGAAGAAACCACTGATGAGAACATTTCTAGAAGTTTCTAGTTTTTAAAATGGTTCCTGAAATTGGAAATCCTATCGTAAATCTAGCATCAAGGGTCGAGTTAGGCCTATTGTCCTAACTTGACCCTTGATGCTAGATTTACGATAGGCTTTACTTAATCAGCCACATTTTATAGATTCTTGTAGAAGACATCACAAGGTGATACGAATAAGACCTAAACGCAAAAAACATGATATAAGATGCAATCATGCATGGTACACACTGATAAATCGAAGGGGACAACCATAAAACATACAACGTCACACGCAGTTCTTACAACGCTTAAAGTCAGGAGGTAAGGTTTACTTTAAACCATAATTCGGCAGCATTTAATGAAATACATTATATTTACCACGGTAGTTAACTATTATAATGTTTAACTAGAAATGTAGAGAAGAATCGTATTCGTCGTTAGTGATTGGACAAAGAGCACTAAAACACTGGATAATAAGTAATTAAATTTCGAAGAAACTGTCGAGCTGAACGATTCCTTGGCAGCTTCGTCTTTGTAAAAGCTGTAACAACCGATGGATTGTCATTATCTCTTTATTAAAAGGTCTTTGAGTTAAGAAAGGGTTTGTTGGTTGAGTGGTTTATCGGCTGCCTTTCACTGGCGGTAGTCTGTTTGGCCGACGCGAGGGAGTAAGTTGCCGCTTACCAGGCCCTTTTAAGATTCTGAATGTCCTAGGCCCGTCCAGGTCGGACTGCTCTTTACATGCGGATAGGCTGTCACAGCGGCTTTGGTCCACAGATCCATGTCTACGCGTGGTTCCCGTTGCCCTCCTATGTAAGGAAGGAAAGTTCATCGTGCTGTAATATGTTCACAACTTCGCTATTGTAAAATTGATCGATCTAGGGAAAACAAATTATTATTCAGTCAATTTTGGAGAAATCGTTTTATTGGTAGAGGACATAAGGCTAAAATTGTTGCCTGTATTGCATTGATCTACCTGTCGATCAATCTCATGGTTTCCAGATTTAACTCAACAACGCTAAGTCTGGAGAACTTTGGTTTCACGGGATGAACCGTGGTGAGAAGAACGTTGCGATATTTCAGAAGATTGCATGGTCTTCGTTATCTTGTTACAAATGTTTTCATCGCCCCTGCATTCTACAGTTTACTGGGTTGGTATTATTTTGAACAGTTGAGGTCATTTTAGGACATATACAACAGGTTACTGACTAGCGGTTGGTAGAATTTCAGCTACAAATCCAGTGAGAGGTTCTGTTTCCAACTCTGCAAGCAGAGTCTCCAAAGTCACCAAACATTCTCCCTTCCTGATAATCGGACTACCAAGGTTAACGTTTATGTGGAGCAAGAGTGACGTTGATGGAGAGACAGAACGAGAGGAATGTAGAAAGATCCCATAAGAGAAGTATGAAGGCGTGATTAATCCCAATTACCATGTAATTATAGAGAGATAAACTTTCTCCGCTTAGAAAAGACAAAACTGCACTTCTCAGGTGCGTCTGTCCGTATTCCAATCCCCCTGTTTTCTTGTAAGGCTTTATCTTTGGTTTTGTTGTCAGGGAGCATTCCATTTCTGAGAAAATATTCATGTCAGTAAAATCTAGAACGTCGATTTAGAGGGCCGGAGTAAAAATTGACGTCAGTACCGTCTTCCAATCAGGACTTATCATTGGCCCTAACGGTCGAACGATTGAAATCCTTGTTTAAAGTTTTCCAAAACAAGGGTAGAAAACTCGGCTAACGTAAAGTGGAAATGTGTCCATAAACCCTTTATAACGTCACAATGAACAATTACCAAGGTCAAGGTGGTTACTTATTTTATTTTTTGGAAGCTTGATATTAATCAAATCAGAATAAATTCCATGTACAAGGTTGCTGCCAACCTCGGGGACTTTAGTAATCCGATGAAAATCGTACCGGAATACATTCCGTCTACAGGAAACAACACGAGAATACTAAAGGTACTAACCCGAGGGGTAGTCGGCTTTCCTATTATGGAATTGTACCCGTACCATCCTCTACTGCAGTTTTGTTAAACTTGGCGCCGACTCATATGGCAAACCTTTAACACTGATAGTCCAGCAACAGGTTCAACGACCATGTTCTACAAAATAACCTCTAGATAACACCAGTAAGCTGGTAATAAAGTGGTAGGCAATGGGCACGTCGCGTGAGTTAACTGTAAAACTCGTGAGCTAAAACATGAAGAACTCGTGCGTTAGAACAAGTAGAACTTGTAAGTTAAAACATGTAGAACTCGTACGTTAGATTATGTAAAACTTGTGAGTTAGAACATGTAGAACTCGTGCGTTAGAACAAGTAGAACTTGTAAGTTAAAACATGTAGAACTCGTGGGTTAGATTATGTAGAACTTGTGAGTTAAAACATGTAGAACTCGTGCGTTAGAACAAGTAGAACTCGTGCGTTAGAACAAGTAGAACTCGTGGGTTAAAACATGTAGATCTCGTGAGTTAAAAACTGTACAACTTGTGAGTTAGAACATGTAGAACTCGGGCGTTAGAACAAGTAGAACTCGTGCGTTAGAACAAGTAGAACTTGTGAGTTAGAACATGTAGAACTCGTGCGTTAGAACAAGTAGAACTCGTGGGTTAAAACATGTAGATCTCGTGAGTTAAAAACTGTACAACTTGTGAGTTAGAACATGTAGAACTCGTGCGGTAGAACAAAAAGAACTTGTGAGTTAAAACATGTAGATCTCGTGAGTTAAAAACTGTACAACTGGTGAGTTAAAACATGTAGAACTCGTCAATAGATTTGTAAAACTGACAAATAGATTTAAAAATAACGTGTATTTTTTTTAGTTGTAGAACCAAACCATTCGAATACACAGACAAAACAGATATACACATAGTTTTAAAAGAATTTTAATATTTAATAAATATTTCGGCGTACAATATGGCAGTGTAGTTCTAACAATGTCAAGAATATAAAATAAATAATTAAATTCAACAAAACAGGCAAAACAGGCAAAACTAAAAATACTTGTATACAGCATGTTAGACAATATGATGTCGATATAAAACAAAACGAAATCATGTAAAACTATATCAAACTTTTATCATTGCACATTAATAATAAAACGGTTTAAAGAGACAGTTTTATTGAAACTGAATCTATTATCACATTGCGACCTAGAACTAGTGGCGGATACAAAGTATGATTTTGGGGTTTTTCTTCACAATATATCATTTCTTTCATATGCTAAGTCCAATCTTCAAATCGATGTTTTCAAGTATTCATAGAATATTTGTATGTAAATAATATTGGTCAATACATGCAGTTTTGGGACGGACATCAACATACCATCAAATTAAATATTACTAACATTACTTAAACAAAACTATGATCATCGTCACTGACAACTCCAAAGATAACTAATAGTTGTACTTTATAAATGAAAAAACATACTATAAATACACACATTAATAGAAACTGCATTAATAAATTAACAAACAAAACATGCATTGATAAAATTTAAAAATAAATAAATATTAAATGAAAATATGTCAACAAAAAATACAATTGTTAATACAAATACATCAACAAAACTTTCATAAATTAAAACCTTAATATTATATTAATAAAAAAGCAACTACATAAAAATACATGCGGTAATAAAACTATATATATTGATCAATAACTACACTCATAAATAAAATTGACGTGGACCATGTATATAAAAAAATACACATATCAAAACAATATTGATTATTAAGTTAAACGTGGGTTACGCGTCAAACAAACCTAAGGAGTTTCAATGAAAGCGGTTGATCTCATGAAACATTTCCATGATTTCCAAAAGTTTACTGTTACATGACAGCGTTACAGTATGGGTGCAATGATAGAAATACATCGGTAAACTGGAACTCAAATCTCCTGTTCTTATCATCGTAATAGACGGAAACTGAAATCAGTTCGCAAAAAGAAAGATATTTCATCATAGGTTAATCCGAAAGAATATGCTCTTATTTCCCTGATAAAAAAGGAATTGACAAAAAAAAGTAATTGGAACTGTACACATTATTTCAGGACGGAGTTACGCAAACATCCAATTTTCGGTCCTTAAAGTTGTCAATTTTCTTTCCCTGTCTATATTGGAGTTGTTCCTTCGTTGTCTGATGAGCTTTCTTCTTCCCTTCTTCTGGCACATGTACATGCAACCTGTATTTGTTTCTCGGTCGGGTTATATTGGAAAACGCCGTTATCGCATTCTTCTTGCATCAATACCACCTCTGTGACGCAGACAGGTTCGCATACGTTCTCCAAGCTACGACCTCCTGCCTCCAGGCACTGCTGGCACCGACACCGGACGCTGGTCAGTATGGACGGAAACCGGTTGGGGTTGTGTTCGCTGACCATGTAGTATGGACAAGTTGACCGGTGTCGGGGGGGCGTATACATAGTGTTGTCCAGTTCGTTCAGGTTTTCTGGACACACATTGGTCTCGCCCTCCAATATCGTGGTGGGGACATTACTCCTGTGTCGGTCACTCTCTCGCGCGGTCAGCAATAGAGATTCAGGGGAGATAGAGTTCCTAGCAGAGCGTAGTTGGATGGCCAGGTTGACTCTAGCAGGTGTCCCACATGTGAAGGTTGTATGAACGCATACGGACACGACCATCTCTATCACCGCCAACATAGATATAATTCGCAGGAGTGAATACTAAACAAACAAAACATGATATTAATATTTTAGAACACTAACTAATGTGTAACTGTTCAGTAATAAAGAAGAGGTCGCATGCGGTTACTGCTGCGGTATGTATTGAGGTGGGTGTAACTGTTTTTTTAAGCATGTTGAAAATATTCCTCATGTTCTTCTTTCCATGGTGTCTTTACTTACTGTTTTAAACTTTGGACAATTTAAACATATTGCGATTTATTTTTTAAATATTGTAAACTACAATATAGAAATTATGGTATTTATTCAAATGTACAGATATTCTTAGTCAAAATTTTGAATAAAACTAAAGAAAAAAAGATAACTTGTATTGTAGTTCAGATCTCATGGTGCAAATTATACTGAGCATGCATCAAATAGATTTCGAATATAAACACTTGATTGTATAAATCGATTCAAATATGGATTAAGAATACAAATGACAGAATTTTGTAAAAAAAAAAAAAAAAATGAGTTACAAAGATTTCACAAGATTTCAAATATCAATAACATTATTTTTAAACAACCCACGCAGTTAATAGTATTGAAAAAAAATCTAGGACATAAAACGAATGTTCAACCATAAGATTCAAGTTACAAGATTAAACATCTGACAATCTCTGTGAATCTAGATAAGTATGTAATTAAAAACTGTGTCCGTTTGTATTTACCATGGAATACAATATTGAGAAACAGGTATTGTTTCCAAAGCTTAAGGTAAACAGTATATGAACTAAACGGCCTTTCTGTGTGATTTAGTGGGGTTAACTTCATGCGGAAGAGTCGTTATGATTTATATTTTTACTCTCCGAGTACTATTTTGAGGTTTCGTATTTTTACTCAAATAACGGCTCGCCAGTTGGCTCCTAATAAGCATATTAACGAGTAAAGGTGACGCCGCTACCAAAAGTTTGATTACTAAAATAATAATATAAGGTTTCTTAACATTGTAATATCTAACAATTGTAATCCCCCAATAAAAACTGAAGGGAGTTTTCCTCGGTTGATTGTTTTGTCTGCGAAGGTAATGTGTAACAAGCGAGTAAATGACACAATACTGAAATAAGACACCCAGGTAACTGCGTTGGGGTTTTTCTCATGAGAAAAATGAATAAATAAATATATAAAGAGCTTCGTCAATGACTTTAATCATTGTAATAATGTTTGACTCCTTCGATAATTTATGCTGGGATCGGACTAACACTTAAATTGGAAAATATCCTTTTTAAACTGTGTAAACTGTATCTTGAATAAGATTCATTAGTTTGGAAATATGCAATGTCAAAGTTTTACAATATACACATTTACGGTTTGTATTAAATACATTAAATACGCACATGGTTGTCTATCAATTAAAACTAGTGTACAAGCTGTATTCTGAAGGATAACATTTTAGTTGACGATATTTGTTCCATTAAAATTTACTTAAATGGCCTGATTTTAAAAGTACTGGTCCTTATATGAGAGAGAGAGAGAGAGAGAATCGAAAAGATAGACAGAAAAGATTAACAGGCCACTGTCTGCTGTTTAAGTAAATGAAGTATAAATGTACCTTAAAATACTTTTGCGTATAGCTTACTCACCATCGTTATCTGTCGTTAAAACTAAGATATCTATCTGTATTAAAATCGTGAATGTTTCTTCAGTGATACAAAAACGAGTTTGGTTTCTGCTCTCTAAGACGTATCTTTTATAGTACACATCTGTCAAGTTTACAGTGTTAAAAATAGCCAGAACGATTAAGTTAGGGGGTTTCTTTGTGTGACGTCGTCTTTTTTTACTTCCGTATTCCCCAATGGTCACTTTTGCTGTGAACCCCGTATGTTCTTAAGGAAGGCAATAATGTCGATGAAAGAAGGAGCAATGGGGAGGGACCGTTGGTTTGGTGATGTGGTAAATCTTGTTATCTAATGCGGAAATTTACATAGGAAATTGACTGTTGAGATGTGCATGGTGTTACAACATTAAGTGAGAGCCTGGTTGTAAACAATGATACAGTTAACACACTAACTATACACACATTGACAATATATGACTGCATTCGTTCTGGCCCGACACTAAAATAATTACTTGTCTAACACATCGCTTACCTTAGTTTAAGTGACCATTTGACCATACGCGCTATTGTTGAAACCTTAGTATATAGCGGAACTAATGATTAACGCTTTCACCCCTATGTAACTTTAATTAAGTCTATTAAGGTCTACAGTGGTATGCTGTGTGAGAGAAATAACTCAAACACGAATAACAGGTATGATGTACAAGGGAGATAACTCAAACACAAATCACAGGTATGATGTGCAAGAGAGATAGCTCAAACACAAATCACAGGTATGCTGTGTTTGGGAAAAAACTCAAATACAAATTACAAATATGATGTGTAAGGGGGATTACTGAAACAAAATATGTTTTAGGGAAATAACTTATACCAATCATAGGTATGATGTGTAAGGGGGATAGCTGATACAAATCATAGATATTATGTGTAAAGGGGTTATTCTGACCTAAATAACATATTTAATATGTAGGGGAGATTATTGCACCATCAATCATGGGTGTGTCGTGGATGGTAGCATATTAAACGTATACAAGAAACATTTAAGCTAATAGGTGTATTGTAATATAACAATGGGAAATTTAGTGGGTTTTTTCTGTTTATACCAACAGCCATGCAAATATTTCTAATATGATCAAAATTCTGATAAGCGAATGCATTGTGGAGCATTACAGAAATTATGTTTATAACAACTTCGTGGGTTTTTTTCAATTTTAATTATTCTGGTCTTATTTTTGATGGGCTCGAAATATATATTTTTTAAATTTCAGACCTGTAAGAATAAAGGGCCATTGCCCAAGTGTTGAAGTGTGCATAGGTAAAAACGACTGTGGAAATAATCTAATACTTTGTAAGGCACTCCATAAAATCAGGTACACTTTTTAGTAATATATTAACATTTTAATATTTTAGATAGTAACAGACATTTGTCTGTAAATGTTTTCAGATTGGAGAGGAATAATTCTTCCTTCAATTTAAAATATCTCTTCATGTAGTGACAATATACTTGTGTATATGTTTTCGTTATGAATACACCTGGTCCAAAGGACCATGGTGAGCTTATGCCATACCGCAGCGTCCGGCGTCCGTCGTCAGCGTCCGTCCGTCAACTTTTCCTTTAAAACGCTACCAGTCCAGAACGGTAGATTTTGACTAAATTTGGTCTGGAGCATCCTTAGCCCAAGGGGACTCAATGTTGTATAAATGGTGGGTGTGGCCACCCAGGGGCCTAAGGGGCGGGGCGAAATAGGGGAAACATAGCAAATTATTCTTTAAAATCCTTCTTCTTCTGTAGGAATGTAAGTATTTGGTCCATATTTGGTGTGGAGCATCCTTGGGTAAAGGAAAACCACTTTTTGTATAAACGATATGTCTTGCCCCCCTGGGGGCTGAGGGGCAGGGTTCATCAGGGGAAATATAGCAAATTCTTTAAAATCCTTCTTCTTCTGTAGGAATGAAAGGATTTGGTCCATTTTTGGTGTGGAGCATCCTTGGGTTAAGGGGAACCAATTTTGTATAAACAGTGAATATGGCCCCCCTTGGTCCTGAGGGGTGGGGCCAAATAGGGGAAATATAGCAAATTGTTTAAAATCCTTCTTCTTCTGTAGGGATTAAGGGATTTTTATCCGAATGTAGTCTGGAGCATCCTTTGACAAAAGGGACTCAATTTTTTATAAACATCGAGTGTGGCCCCCTGGGGGCAGAAGAGAGGGGCCCAATAGGGAAAACATAGCAAATTCTTCAAAATCCTTCTTCTTTTTTAGGAAAAATAGGGGGAATGGAGGTAAAACCTTAAAAATCCTTCTTCTACCATAGGGATTAAGGGATTTTATCCTAATTAAGTCTGGAGCATCCCTGGGTCAAGGGGACTCAATTTTGTATAAGCAGTATGTGTGGTCTTCAAGGGGGCAAAAGGGCGGGGCCCAATAGGAGAAATAGAGGTAAAACCTTTAAA